TAGTGTGACTCCCCTTTTCTGAAGAACATCGACCATCTATTTGTCTTAGTTATTGCATCAAAAACGGCGAGACTTCACGTAGCAGCCTAGTGAATGTGAGCTTCCGTCCCGTGTCCTAAAACCTAGGGTGTATGCTGTCTTTTCGCCGAGCCTGCTGATGTAAGAGCTTCTTAGCTGAGGAGCTTGACGGAGCTTGACGGAGCTTGACGGAGCTTGACGGAGCTTGACGGAGCTCGACGGAGCTCGACGGAGCTCGACTGAGCTTGGTCTGAGCTTGGCGGAGCTTGGCCGATAGAACTCACCTGCTTCACGAGTTTGCCCCCTGAGCTTACTTCCTGCATTTGCTCACGAAGCCGTGGCGGGTTGCTTTGAGATGGGACATAATGCGCGTAGCAGTCTTTGGAGCCATGTAATTGTTCGGGATTTTGTTTAGGACAGCCTAGGATGGATCAGCAACCTGTGCTATGGCGCGGAAAAATGCTGCAGATCGAATCTAGAGCCGCAAAAGACGGAAAAGGGGGGGGGGGCTTACAACCGGTGTGAACGAGCTGCGAAATAGCCCATATAGAGCGCAATCGTGGTGCGAATCCAGCGGCAAAGCCAAAAAGGACTGTTGTGTAGTCTAAACCCAAACAGGCATTACTGCATTAGGAAAATTTCTTCTCTGACGGTAACACCGTCCTGATTGGGCAAGCCCTTATCTCCTCGCCGTTGTCAATTAGTGGCTCTCGAACATAACCAAGACAGGGATCTCAGCATCCATTTTTATACCTAGCCGCTTGGGAGAATCAGCAACAAGTTTTTCATCAGAATAATGCTTTTAGCGTTTGAACGCCGGTTTCTACCTAGCATATTCATGTTCAATGCTCAAATCTCATGATCGGTGGCCATTTTGTGCTGACTTTACGTGGTTATAAAGAGTTGTCCTCGCCAGTGTTTCCGACGAGGACTACCATCTCGCATCAGCAGCTCGACATAACTCTCACATACCGTGCACCATGAACGGAGCTCGAACGCGGCCGTCGCGTAGCAGGTGAACGATATGGTCAAACGATAAGGTGAGTGTCTCCCAGCCACAAAATCCTCCCTAATTGGGGCATACTGAGCTGCTGCCGGAGGAAAAGCCCTGAGAAAAGATGGACACCAACAAGGAGAGAATTGACACGAATCCAGGCAGGCCTACTGACGTGGATTCATTATCCACTGACAACTCAAGACTTCGAAGTCGACACAGCCTCGTTGTTCAAACACCTCCAGACGGCAGGTGAAGATGCACCCTCAGCTCTCCTAGGTTATCTCAAGCGCCTACGAACATTCTCCTTGTGTTCATTACAGAAATAGATCAATGGTATGGGGAGAAGTTGCGAGAGCACAATTTCGCAAATGTTGCCATTTGGACCCAGTACCGAACCACAAAGCAGACATCCTACCACGACGCTTCGAGCGATTGCTCCACCGCGCCCTTGGGTTGTGCAGGGAAATGATGTCTTTCGGCAGCCACGCCTCGAGCCGTCTTCGAATTGTTTCCAGCCCAACACCAGAACAGAGGCAGCAAGGTAGACTTCAGTCTTCAGTGGTATTTTTATGAGGCCACACGCAAGCTTT